TTTTAAATATCCTTAAAACAAGGTACAGACTATCTTTTTTTTTTTTTTTAAAGGAGAACTTCAGTTGAAAAGCTGGGGGGTTAGTCTGCAGTTAGTCTTAAATTCTATCAGCAAACTTAACTTCTTGTAAAACATCAATAAAATAATAGCTTTTATTGGGTGCCATTAACTCTACACACAATTATGGATGTATTGAAACAAATAAACAATGGAGTCACATATATTATACTCTAACTCGTGCATTCTTTGTGAAAGTAGAAGAGATCAACTGAATGTTAATGACATGGACTAGTGAGCCTCTGATGCTTGCAATTGTTGTAGCCCTGTGATAAGGCTTCTTTAATTATAACTGGTAGCTTGGTCTGCTCCTGCTGCTGAGGCATAGGGCATAAGATACGAGCCAGGTTGATGGGGGCCTCTCTGCTGTCATATGATTAAACAGGCAATCTAGTGGAGAGACTGATTAGACGGTCAAATAAATATACGGTGGTGAAATCCTGCTAGACAAATATGAATGTCTCTTTTTTAGTTCTGGTTGCTTTACTAATGTGTAATTCCCATACCTAATTCTTATGCATTTATCCATGGGGAAATTAAACTTCAAAAACTTGTGGTGTTTGGTAGTAATAATCAAAACCAAAATAACTTACTTTTAATGCTGATTGTGGCTGGATTTGAATTTCTGTTCCTGGTGTATATTTATCTAAAAATAAAAGCAACAAACCTTCAGTTATAGCATTTACAGTTCACTGGCAGACACGTAAAATCTCTAGACAAATACCACTGTAAGAGAGGAAGAAAATCACCTCTGCACTGGGCCTAGGAATGAGGAGAAATGGCTTAACGTCCTTTACTATCCTAAGCTTGGTTTGTGGATTGCAGGGAGGAATAGGGATTTTACTTCCTGGTATAGGACAGGAATGATACAACTATGATTTGAGAATGGTCTGGTTGTTTCCATGTGAAAAAAGTTCCCAACACAGGATGATGAAAGCAGGGAAAGGTGAGAGATGTGTCCCAGGTCACAACTCTTCCAGAAATGCTATCAATTCTACTTCCTCTTAGACCATGGGTGGGCAATTATTTCAGGCAGAGGGACGCATACTAAGTTTTGGCAAGCCATCTAGGGCCGCATGACAGGCAGCCAGGGGCAGATAAATATTAATTTTCTAAATTTTTTAGGGGCCCCATGGGCCAGATAGAATGGGCTGGTGGGCTGCATCTGGCCCGCGGGCCGCATTTTGCCCACCCCTGTCTTAGACAAACGAGGGAGTATATCAGCTGATTTCTGTAGGGTCCCTTCATTTAGCTGCATGCTACTGATGCAGGAGTGTAACTGAGGAAGAAGGGTAAGTGAGGCATCTGCCCTGGGCTCTGTCATAGAAGGAACACCAGACTGCCCCCCCTCCATTTTGCAGCTCAGTCACAACAGGTGAGCCCAGACATCGAAGCCAGGCAGTCCCTATACCCAGTAGTGTGCATGGGGGACAGGTCAAGTGGAATGGCACTCCCCCCTGGGATTTTTGCCACAGGAGGTGCCGTAATGTACTGTAGGTGGGGGAGGGCAAGGAAGCAAACAATGCATCAGGAAAAGCCCCATGGGAGCCTGCACTATGGAGCTATTGCAGCTGAGCCCTGCATGCTGGCTGCAGCAGCTCTTTGTGGCTGTCCTGGTGCCTTGTTTGCTCCCCACTGCCTCCACCCCACAGGGCACATGGCTGCCAGGCCTTCTAAGGCTGGGCTGTGCCTGCTGTAGCAAAGACTTTGGGGAGGGGGGGAGAATTTTGGTGCCCTCGGCTGAAGCTGGTACACACGAATCGTGTTTCAGCTGCAGCAGCAGCTGGTACTAGTGCAGAGAGAACCAGGGCCAGTAACACCCCCCCAGGTTCTCCGGTGTTCGGCAGTGCTCTACGCAGGGCACTGTGGGAGCTTGCTGGACCGGTGCAGGAAACAGGAGAATGAAGTCGGGGGGTGCAGACTCATCTCCTGAGGACCATGCTCTCATGTCCCTTGATATAAGCTTGCCTGTTTCACTCTGCTCTGTGAGGAATGTCGCCATAGAATCGTGGTTTCCAGTCTTTCTTGGCTGGGGCCCCACTTGCAGGCACGTGACCCAACATTCATTCACCACAGCTTGTGCTTCCAGTTCTGATCTAACATCACAACACATTATGGTATGTGGAATGTGATGACATCACAGCATGTCGCAGTATGCAGATGTGATGACATTATAGCACATTCTGGTGTGAGGATGTGATGACATCACAGCTCCTCGGTATTGGGATGCAATGACATCACCATATCCTGGCATGACATCGCAGTGCATGATGATGCCTTCCTGGGTCTGGGGCAAGAAGATGGCTCTCACCTGGCTGCACCTGCTTGCAGCCCGGCAGGATGCCAGAGGAAGTGGTGACCCCGGCTGGGGCTCCTCCTGTGCCACACAGCCATCCTCCAAAACTGCACTCATCCGCGCCGCTTCTGGACATGTCCATGTATGTGACTTGAGGTACCCGCCCCCCAGCCTCATCCCATGCCACGCCCAGCTGCACCCGCTCCCAACTGTGGCTGCCACCTGAGCCGCGCTCAGCTTCTCTGCGTTGCTAGGCAACAATAATGCGTAGGCAGAAAGGCCAGGCAGGCACCTCCGCACTCCCAGTGTTCGCAGCACACACCAGCGCCCCCTGGGGCCTGGGAGGGACGCTGCCACCCAGTGAGCAGCTGGGACAGCGGCGCCTCCTGGCGGGGCCTTGAGCCCCAGCAGGGTTTGCTGGAGGGTTGTACAGTATAGACGTGCATGTGGAGCAATGCAGCACACCATTCTGCCGTGCCTTGGGGGCACAAGCCCCATCCTCCCCCTCCAAAACACATGGCAGCTCTTACCCGCTGCAGGCCCCAGGGAAACCATTGGGGAGCAAAACTGAGGCACGGGATGGGTCTGATTATAAGTTGTCTGTTTTCTCCCTCCCCAAGAACCATAGGAATCCCAGGCTAATTACCTGCAGGGCTGCCTTAGGTTTGGGGGAAAAGGATCTTAATGAGAAGATGACCCTGGCTGGAACCCCGAGGGGCTGGGCAGCGTCTAGTCATCTGCTCCTTTGCAGAGGGTCACCTGCTCTGCTGCCCCCTGGCCAGAGCAGATGACCCTGCAGTGCACCTGAAGGCCAGGGATCATAGGCTTGTGGGGCAAAGGGTCATTGGTTCTGGCAGGCTTGGGTCACACAAGGAAGGGCCACAATGGCTGGGTGACCCAGCACCCTCCTGTTCCTGGGGATCTCCCTGGTCTGCTTCTTAGAGCAGGAGGCAAGCAGGGTAAGAGCTCAGAAGCCTAAAGAGCCCTGTAACAAGCTGAGACTTTCAAACACCCTGGCTTCACTACTGAGAGCTGAGAAAGTAACCTTGACTCCTCAGCTGTGAGACAGGTCACCACAGGAGCTACAAGTGAGGACGCAGCTCACAAGGTGGCTGGCAAAAAACCAGGTGGAGTTAGATACACTTTAGAAGTGTGGACATTATGTGCGTGTGTATACAAGTGTGGACATATATATATTGTGTGTGTGGAGTGTGTGTATATGTATGTGTGTGTGTGTGTATATATATATATATATATATTTATTTAAGTATGGACATTTATTTATATATATATAATACACACACTCCACACACACCCACATATATCTATATACACTATTTAATTATTTTGCAGTGAGCTGTGCATTTATTATCTGGAAAGGACCAGCGTTCCTGAAAATTTCTAGCTCTGAATTAAAAAAAATAGTCTCAGGGTAAATTTAACCGATTAAAAAAGATAGCAATATATATCACCTTCCAGCATGAACGTCTTGTGCCCCCTGGTGACTGGGGAGCCCAACGGTGGCAGGAGCCCGGCGGCGGTAAGTGGGGGAGCTCCCGCACCTGCCATCAGTACTGTCGGTGGCGAGAGGGTGGGGGTGGCAAGCGCCGACCAAGAGTTGTCGATCAACCGCAACTGCCACCGGCAGCATGCGCAGAGGCCAGCAGTGGTGCTGGTGGTGGGGTGGTGAGCGGTGACCGCCTGCAGGCGCCTTTTTGTAGGGGGTGCACTGCCATGAGCAGGGGGTACACATGCACTCGCGAGCACGCCCTATGCGTCACCCCTGCCTTCCAGGATGTGAATTGGCTGAATGAACTGTGCTCACACTTTTAGGAAAAGGGCAAATCTGAGCTGATACTCAGGGATACTTGGAGGATACTTGTATATTTTGATATTTTTAGTCCATTTAACCTTTGGGGCCTTTTCTTGGTTATTTGAGTCTCCTGTGGGATTTGTAAGGGCAACAGCAGTTCAAGGATTTTATCTGTAGTTCAGTCATATTTGGGGAAAAAAAGCATTTCCTAAAACTAAACTGAAAATGCAAGCCTGACATGAGCAGTCAGTTTATAATCGGAACAATACAGTACTGTAAGTAAAAAATATCTAGAAAAAACTGGATCATAATCTATAGGCCTTGTCATGGGTTCATTTGAAACAGTTGCAACTCATTGGAATGGTGTGACATATTAAAGTAAATATGTTTGGAGATAACCCTTGCTTGAAAGGGAGCAACTTTGCAATGCTGTACATTGCCTTCAGTGGAGTGCCTCTTGAATTACACATATGTAAGGGAGAGCAGAATTAAGCCTGTTGTTTTCAGCAGGTAAAATAGAGGGAAAAATTTTCCCCCAAAGTCTCAATTACAGTTTATTAATAGTTGTAGGTTTTAATAAATCATTTATGTTTAAATTTATATTGTAAATAAAATTCTTCAGTTTTGTGTTCAGCATTATGCCAAGGGCAAATAATTACTATTAGGTTGAACAAATTACCAACCTATCTAAGAAATTATTTTATGATATGAAATATCTGTGAGGAAGTTAGGGGGCTGTGCTACAGAGCAAGATAGCAGGAAGTAAAACAGTTGCTTAGGTTGATGATATTAATAAAGTTCTGGGTCTTGTGGAAGTAAAGTGAGTTGAAATCAGTGGCTTTTGGTTCTTGTCCTTAGGAACCTGGTTCTAAATCCTAAATGTATCTATCAGTTGGTAGTCACAGCGATTCCCTGAGTGTACTACTTGCTAAGATTACCCACAACAGAAATTACAAATGATGATACTAAAGAGCATTACTGTGAAATAGAAAAGATCCTTGGAAGTAACTTCTTTAGTAACTTTTTAGGTGATACCTGTCCAACCTAGTTTTACCCAAGAGATCCCTAAGCTTCTGGTAGAACTGTAGAACAGTGAAATCCACGCATGCGCCATATGACTAGAGGTGAGAAGTTTCTAGACGGTTTGAACTCTCAACCTTGATGAAGTCATGACCTGCTTTTTAAGGTCTGGGCATGTGCAGTGTGTAATGGTAATGCAACTGTTTAGCAATGTTGATATGTTAATTATGATCATGTTGATTGTATGGAGTTGAAACAGTTTGAAGTGATTGGTCTTTTTAAGTATTGCCCGGATTTGAACTTGATTGGGTATTATGCAAAGAGCAATGATTGGACCATTGGGTGAGTGACAGGTGGCCATAAATCCTGTCCAGAGCAGCCAGCAGAAGCTTTGGGAGCTCTGGGAACATAGGCTCTGGCTTGGGCTCACTCTCACTCTGGCTGGACAGTGCTGACTCTGGGCTCTCGGGGGGCAGGAGTTCATCGAGCACAGGTTCCTTGCTGTGACCTGGTCATTGGGATTGGGCTTGCTGAGGCTGACCTGTCTTGCGCTCTTTCCTTCGGGCTTCGTCTGTGGAAGCTGCAGTTGGGTAAAGTATCACCTTTCCCTATTTGAGGTGCTGAGTACCTAAGTATGGAAAAGCTAGAAATCCTCAGGGACTGTCAGAGGGCTTCTCCTGCTGACTAGGACCAGGGTGTTATTGCTGCCATCTGTGGTTTCTGGGTTGCCTGAAGTTGTACAGCCGTTAACTTTGTAGTGATCAAAGCTCATTGTAATGTGTAGTTGATAGGTTGTGTGACCAGGGACATTGGGTTTGGGATGTGCGTTGAGTTATTGTCTTGTCAAGTGTATTTTACTGTGTTGCGGCTTGAGTGTTATGGAAATATTGCGTCGGGTAGTTGTTGTGCCGGTTTTGTTGTGTAATACAGCTTATATTGCTCAACCTACCTGTGTTTGTAGTGTGTAGCTACTCTTCCTAACTCTGAGTGGGGTCGGGCAGTAGATCAATGCTTAGGGAAATTAACTTACTTTTAATGCCTTGAACCTGACTACGTGTGAGTCGCAGAGGATTATCGACCCTCTGGATTGATGAGTTAATTGGCATCCCCATGGGCAGTCCTACAGAATGAGCAGGAAAGGGTGTGTCTACATATAACGCTACATCACCATAGCAGTGCACTACTACTGTCCCTGGGCAAGAACTGTGATGCTGCAGCTATGTTACCATAGCAACGCGCTCCCTCCTTATAGCTTGTTGCTAAAAAATGTAGCAGCTAAAAATAACTGTGTGCCATGCCATGCACATGGCACAGTATGAGCTGTCACTGCACCATCATTTAGTACTTCCAAAAGGAAGTACGTTATGTCAGTGCAGTAACAAAGGCACCATAGGGACATGTGTAGACATGTCTGAAGGGCATGGAAAACCAGTTTCTCAGTTGATGGAAATTGCTCGCTTACATCAGAAGAGGACTTGGACTGGAGCTTGAGATATTTTGTGGGATTCCCAGATTCACTGGTATAAAGTATGATCAGAAAGAGTAGTACCCTTATTGGACCCCTGGAAGGACAAAAAAATGGTACCTATAAATGTTCTAAAACTCTAAACTTCTCAGCTATGAAGAAGCCATTAAACTAACCCTATATGGTCATTCTGTGATGAGGGTTGTGTGAACTATCTGGGAGGGCTTGGCTACCTAGGAAAAAGAAACGGGCACCTTTGAAATAGTTGCTAGTAGCCAGGGACCTGATGTACTCAGGGATGGTTGGATGAGTCACAGTATCTCTCTTGCATCATAATAATTTAAAATGTAAAATACATAATCTGAAGATGAGGATTAAATCTTTTATGCTTAAACACCTGTTAGGCATCCCCTGTTCACCTCCTTTTTCTTTTTTGTTTGTTTCTATAAGCAGTTCAATACAATGAGGAATAAAAGAGTTGGGAAGATTTGAAGTGTGGCCTTTTAGATGAGTCATGGTTAGCACAGTGTAGCTGCTTATCTTATTGATTCCCAGTCTCCCTATTGAGGCCTGAAAGGAATGAAAACTTTTCTCAATCCTGGGCTTTCAGTATCTAGCAAAACCTCAGAAGCTGAACAGCAACACATACTCTATGTAACACAGAGCACATAGCCATTGCAGTTTACTGAACAGGGACTTCGGCAATCTGCGTTTCATTTCTGGCTCTTTCATTGGTCTGATGGTTAACATTAAGCAAGTAATGAGGGTAATGATGCCATCTTCCTTTTTTAAAGCACTTTGTTATCTGCTGATAAAAAGTGGGATAGAAAAGCATTGTACTATATAACTGGAGCTTCAAAAGAATCACTAAGGATTATGAGACTTTTCTAAACTGATG